ATATTCAGCTTATTCTCATTCCCTAATCTCGCAGCTCCAAACTCCCTTCAGATCCCTTCTCCAGCAGAAACCTGTATGTGTTCAATACTTTTTGAAAATAATCCAAATACGCTCTCCATCTGTGCAAGTACTTCGCTTCCAACTACAAAGAGACTAAGGAACAATTTCCACTAGAGTGAGAGAGTCACAACCAGCTCACTTACGTACCACCCACTAAGGTTTTATTTCTAAAGCAACCAAATCTTAAGTTTCTTGTTCTAAGCAGTGATGTCTAACATGTAAGACAAAGCTCATAAGACGTGGGGTTAGACTTCTGCAAATGAAAAATAACTTCATCTTACTTTAAGCATTATACAGCATAGGTTTTCCTTTTTCCTTCCTTTTTCAGTCAGTCCTATACTGTGTATAACCCTATTTCACTATCTACCTTTTTTTTTTTTTTGACTGTCAGTATCCAATATGAGCTTACAGTCTGTGTTTAAAGAAGAAAAAAGTTTACATGAACCAAACTGCTACAGCTTTTTCAGTCCCTGGTTGGGGTGGTTTCTTTAATGTCACAAAAAATATAAATTACAAACTACATTCTTGCATTCTCAGTAAATCTGAAGCCATCTGCATTCAATTAAAATAGTAATTCCTAGCAACAAATTGCTATCCCATAGTAACAGCAGATATTAAAAGGAAATATTTGCTGTTTGTGTTTGCATACAGCTAAACAGTACTCATAATGCACCAGAACACAGCATCAGTTAGGAAAATGCTACAGATTGTTTGAGTAGTCCTATTTCAGTACTGTTTATTACTGAAAAGAAAACACCAGCTCCAAAAACCAGCCTTTTCAGATCTTGCTCACTGACATTTGCCCAAGGTCTTGGGCCTTAAACTTTTTGCTGTCGTTTCAGCAGAGAGAAGACAAAGTACAAAGACTACTTGATTGGACCTCCGTTGGTCTTCCTTCTTTCTTCTGTTCTTCAAATTTTTCTCCAACGCTCAATAGAGGGAGTGGAGGGAATAGAATCACTGGTCTTTAATGCAGATTTTTGTGAGTAATTTCCCTAAATGGAAGTGAGTTTTTCAGTGGTCAAAAAACCCATCAGCGCTGAAATCCTTTATACTTGTAACAATTGCTCCTGACAAATTAAAGTCATGATTGGTTTCTCCTGTACTATATACACAGAATTATGCAGTTTCCCAAACAGGACAATATTTTTTTCCACTATAAAAGCACTCCAAACACCACAGCTCAGGTCATTATTGCATTTACATGTAACAACTTCCTCCCTCCCAAGTAATGAAATGTTTTCCAAGGAAACAGACTTGATTTTGAGAAGAGCAACACAAATGGAAAAACAGGGCATTTTTACTGCCTCGACTAAAGCACAGAAAGCAATGTGGAATACCACTGAGCTTCTTACTGCAAGCCAGCAGTTATGTACTGGGCTATTTTGGGGGATTTTAGAAATCAGTAGTTAAAATTTATTGTCAACTGCAGGAGATACAGCCTCTCAGCTCTGCAAAACTGATGAGCAATGTAATAGGTCCTACAGAAGAACAGCTGTGACTAAGCCAACTAACACTAATTACATGATCTTTGACCTACTAAGGTAGGCTAGTGTAACATCCAGCTTAATTATTCATACCTCACTACTTGATATGAGTTGTACTGGACTTCGAACCTATTGCCAGACAGCAGAAATGAGAGTTGTCTCTTCCTCCTACAGTAGTTTCTATAGCTGATTATTCCCTATCAAAAGTAACACACACAATCTCAGAAGTCTGTGTAAGGCAAGTCTGTTTTGTGGTGTTACACATTCAACAAACAAACACTTGACTTGCTATGTTTGGCAGTCACTTGTGTTGCTTTTTTTAATTTGCATTTTATCTTGTTTTACTTCTCAATTTTGGCCAGCAGTAATATAGAACCACCACAGCATTCCAGTAGACATTTTAAAAAAGACATTTATATCAGGGAAACATGATATAATAGTATATCAGCATGAGATCAAAATACGTGTAAGGAAATATACTGACAGTAAGTTCTGCCTATGCATTTTGCACTTCCACAGCAAAATGCTAGTCTCCATTCAAGTCCACAATATTGATATACATCATACAATTTCACCTTCCAGAATTCAAGAAGCTGAAATTCACGTGACAAGCACAAGACAACATTTTCACACATTACATACTAAGGTAAACAAAGGCATTCACATACATAACACTACAGTTTGCCATTACTGACACACTTCAGTTAGCCTCAAGCTGCAAATATGCCACAATCTAGATTATCTAGATTGACAAAAAAATTCTTCTCCTTACAGAAAAGTAAAATTCAGGACAGTCACTTTTCTGCATCTTTCCAAAGTGGACACAAAAATTAGACGGCACGCCAGGCCTTAGAAATTTTTAACTATTATTCCACGCAGATTTATTTGTATTGTCAGTATTGTATGTCTGTATTGCATACCAGCACAAGTATGATGGAATATAAACATTTGGCACAGTGACAGTCCTTTCCAAAAGTATGCTATAATTTACATTAGCAACAAAGCATTAGGAAATGAAAGACACTTAAACTAACAAGACTAAAAGAGGATGAGGCAACAGTAATATGTGGTTGCTTTTGTGGTGTAGGCAGTGTAACTTGCTTACTGCCTCTTCTTGATAGGCAGCATTTTATAATGCTCCTGGCAAGGTTTGCCTCACAAGGAAAATGTGGAGAAAAGAAGGAGGACCGATGAGCAAATACCACCCTCAAAAAAAGGACAGCATAGCTGGCTATGAAACAACTGAATGGTGGATGTAGAGTTTGGAATTCACAGCCCCAGCATAACAGCAGTATTAAGAGCTATGCAACAAAGCACCTCAAAAGCCTAAAGCAGTAGTTGCATAGGTACAAACTAGCTAGCGACATGGTACTTATTTTAGAAACTGCATTTCTAGATAGATTTGAGAAAGCAAAACAGCATAAGAGAGGCAGATTACAGCAGTAACAAAGAGGTAAGAGGATAACTGTAGTATAGATAGAGGAAAAAGGTATAGGTCATATTAGGTCAGACCACCTCAACTCCATTCAACTGCTAAATGTGTGAATCATCTCCGCTTTACAGCGGACAATAACATAATAGTGCGTGGTCACCTAATACATACAAATAACTCAGATTTTTAACACTGTATGTAGCAAAATCATGACTCCTACAGGAGGATTACAATCCAAATCCAATTTTCAACATTTAAGATAGAATTTAGTTTCATTACATTCACTCTCAACTCTCACTCTCAAGGCACTGTTCTTGTTGAGTCCAGCAGATCAACATCAAGAAACCTGCAACACAGTTCAGGGACAACCCAGGACCCACATTATATGTATTTCAGGAGTATATTAAGTGTACTTCAAAACTACATTGGACCTCAATCTACAGCTGAAGGCATGCTCTAAACAAAACATAACCCAGAACTCCTCAACAAAGAGAAAGCAAGGAAAGTATGGACAATTAAAAGGTTCACTTGAAAAGCACATTCAGTCCGAAGTACAAACTTAGATTCTCCTAGAATGTCTGCCTGGCCCAGTCTTTCTTATAGACAGCATTACAATACACTAAGTAGGAAAGTCTTGTAGTAACCCTCTCAACTTACCACTTTCAAGCTCATCTGTACAGCTTTTCACCTTTTTACAGAAGGTGTTTGACTAAATTCAGCAGAGATAACTGGAAAATATCACCCTTCCCAATGAATTGGACAGAAGAACAAACCATCATCAACAGTTCAGGATCTTGTTTCCACTCCCATGCAAACAACATAACATAACAAACTCCAAGAAGCCCTGTGTTGCTCACGTTTTATGTATGTTATATGACAAAGTTACCTAACTTCAGAAACTTGTGAAGATATCACCTGCATGAAAGGAATTAGGTAAAATAACACTAGGTCATTGCTTAACTACAGGTATGCAATTGCTTAAGTCTATTGAGCAAGTCCATTTCACCATCTGTGTTTAGCACCAGGACGGGGTTATAGCAATTACACGATATCTAACTGTACAGCCAGGTCTTCAGCACACGGCCGGCAACTGAGATCCACAGATCTGCCAGCACCACGCAAGGGCTGAGCGTGGAGCACCTTCTCCACCCATCTCATATCCTGGTACCCGAGTGCTCCTCAGGGGTCAGTAGACTCCCGTCCCAGCACACACACACAGGTGGGCCGCCTTCACAGGTAACCCAAGCAGGCGCTATCTCTGCTACAGCTGTCAGCGGGCACCAGAATAACCCGCGCCCGTTATTACCCCTACAGACAGGACAAACCTAAACATTTAACTTTTCTCAGCGCGAGCTCGCAGATGGGAAAGCTGAAAAAGCGAATACAATTCGAGCAGCGGAGCCGGGGCGTGCCGCGGCTCCACAGGCAGGGGCAGCGGATGCCGCCCCCTCCCCAGGACGCGGTCCCGAGGGTCGAAGGCAGCGAGCCCCACGGCAGGGAGAGCCCCGGGCCCGGCCTCTGGGCCCCGCTCCGTCCCGCCCGGCCCCGCGCACCACCGCCGCTCGCCCCCGGCCCTTCGCGCCGCGCCCGCCCGGCTCACCCGTGCTGGGCCGCGGCCCGCCGCTTGTTGAGCAGGCAGAGCAGCGCGCAGGCGGCGGCCGTGCCGCCGACAATGGCGGAATGGCGCACGGTGAGATATTTGCTGTAGGCAGCCATGGCGCGAGTGCAGCCGCAGAGCCGCAGCCGAGCCGAGCCGTGGCGAGCGGGCGCAGGGAATGCCGGGATGAGGGGCGTGGCGCGCCCGGCCTCGCCTCCGCCGGCCGGGGGGAGGCTGTCCGTCTGTCGGCGCGCGCTGTCGGCGCCGCGCTGGGGCTCGCCTCGGGAGCGGAGGGGCGGCAGCTCGTGCACCGGGCAGCGCTGCAGGGCGGCGGGCGGCGCTCTCTCCCGTGTCCCCGCAGCGGTAGCCTCCGCACCGCCCCGCGAGCGGCGGACGAAAGGGGACGGGTGGGCTGACGGGAGAGCGCCTCTGAGGGGCCGCGAGGGTGCGGCGTGCCCGGCTCCCGTCTTCTCCCTCTGGCACCTTGGCCTGGCGGCTCCTGCGGCTCGTTGCGCAGCTGTACGCCCGTGTGAGTTCCCACTGTCGTACACGGGTAAAGGCAGCGCGAAATAACCCTTCCAGGAAGACTTTCATGTCAGTTTTGCCATACTGTCTTTCTTTTAGGGCCCTGAGAGGAGCTGCCAAGCTTAACTTTCAACAGAGAGGAACATGTTGCCAGTGTGAGTATAGAAAAGCCTCCCCTGCCGGGGCAGAGCCGCACGGCCCGCCCCCGCGGAACCTGTTCTACTTGTAGGTGCTTTTCCTGTCCCAGCGCAAGCACCCGGGCCGGCATCACTGTCGTCGCACCTGGGGCGAGTTTGTGTCTTGGCGCCGACGCTGGGGTCTCAGGACAAGTTGTTCGCATGTTGTAGAGCGCTGGAGAAAAGGCTGTTCGATTTAGTTCTCTGGCACTGACTTGTGTGTCTCGGATGGTTTGGTAATCTCTGTGCTTTAAAGCATCGGTACATGGATGTAAACTAACCCATGTGTATTCTGATCCTCTGGAAAATATACGTCAGAGTCGCAAAACATTATGAAATTTACTGTGTATCAAAATTCTGCTCTCTGCATTGCCCAGAGTTGAGGGCCCTGTCTTGGTGGGTGTTTGTTGGGTTTTTTATTTACTTGTTTGTTTTTGAAGTTTCAGATATTTTGACAGTAGGTAAATCCGAAAAGCTAAAAATCAGTAATATTCTCATCAAATAAAATGTCATATATTCAAATCATTATGAAAATGAAAGTCTAGAAATTTTCTTTGAGGTACAGTTTTCATCTCTGCCACTTTTCATCCCTGTCTGTGCTGGGATCAAGAGCACTGTAGTATTGAGACTTTTTACAGATCCTTTTCCCTCCATAAACTTAGGTTGGTTCTACCCTTCCACTGCACCATCTTTCAAATATAGCCCAACACTGTGTACACACAATGTCCATCTATTTAGGCCATGCTGACCTTCGTTGTTTGCATGACTTGTGCTCTGCTACATTTATCTTCTGTCCTTACCCCGCTTTTTGAGTTTACCCAGAACCACATCCTGTATTTCATTCATCTTCTACCTTGTTTTAAATAATTTCACAAATGCCTGCTATCTTCTAGGAAACTTGTCTCATGCATTGAGTTCTCTCACAGTTCAATTTACTGTCTTCATTTTTCAATGTTGTTTTTTATCAAAAAAACTTTGCAGTAGAACTTAGTCCGAAACACGAGATTTTTATTGATCCGTTATTTAATCAGTTTCCAACAACATTGGGGAGCATATCTGTGGTAAAATCATCCACACTGATCAGATGCTTTTGTGACAGAAGTTCCTTCTTTGTTCTGCAATTTGAGATCTGCTGTATTTCAGTACTCTACATGTTGTGGTCACTTTGTGTTTTCAGCATTCTTGGTACAAGTCAATTGGAAGAGTTTTCCAAGGCAGCAGATAATGACAACATTAGTTCAGAGGTATCTCAAATGTAAAAGGCAGAGCTTAGAAGAAAACAAAGTAAACTACCATGAGTGTCATCTGTTTTAATAATGGCATGCATAGCCTCCCTGAAGAAGCAATATCAAATTGAGACCTGTGCTTTTGATATGGTTAATGGTATGGTTCAAACTTCTCATTATCTATGTAAAAACATTCAGAGAGAAAGCCATTTAAACTTGAGACTGTGCTATGGAAGACTGAAATGTCTAGGAATAGAAAAAGCATATTTACTATTTAAATTTTTACCATTACATTACCATTACCATATTTACCATTTACTATGGTCTGTTGTCTGAAGAGTTAAGCAGAAGTACTCACCTAAGCACTTCTCAGCCCAGCTGCTGCTTTCCATACAGGGTGCCATATTTTCAGTTATACTGGTTTATGAAACCAGATTATGAAATAATTTAGAGAAGTAACATTGGAGGACAGGTAAAAATTGGAAGGTTTTAATTTTTAATCTGGATCCACTCCCTGACAATTTTTGCAGTGCAACTCCTGAAATACTTGCTTGGGCAAAATATGTTGTGCTTCAATTTCACATTAAATTAAATGTCTGTTTAATAAAAAGCAGTGATAAAATTGCTAAACGGTTTAGATTCTCAAATCATATCCTGACTCAATATTGATTTTAACCTGTTGAGTTTTAGGGAATAGATTTACGATGGGAGTGCTAGAAACTTGTATGGAGTATTTCGTCCAACTGGTAACCATGTGAATACAGCTATTTTAAATGGAGCCTGGGTTAACAAATAAGAAGATGCTCTGATTTCTTTTTTCTTAGAACAGGAAGAACCTGTATTATTTGCTGTTGGCACTTGGCATACTTGGCAACCAGCTGGTTTCTGAGAACAACATATCTAATAATTAAATGAAAACCATGTTGTTTATTGTAGGCTCAGTAACATTAATAGCAGGGAGAGCAATTTACAAGTGTTGTGACAGGTAGCAGAGGAATGAAATTAATTTATGTAAGTTGATGTAAGCTGTAAGGTACAAGTTAAGTTTGAAAGTAGTTTCTATGGTGCTGGTATCCATTCTGTAGACTTGCACTTGCCTGACATGTAAGTTCATACAAATTCAGCAAGATTGTTCACTTGTTTGATGTTACTGTGATATTTGAAAACTCACTTGTGCTAGCTAGTAGAGCAAGGTCAGTTCCAGAGACCGATACGGTGTCTTCTGTCAAATCTGCGTTCTCTTGTGTTTATCCAGCCTCTTTCAGTTTATAGTTTTAGAATTTGAAATAGTTTGTGGGGGATCAATGAATACTCTACTAATGCAGGCATCAGTGTTAAATGATAAGATTTTGCCAGTTCTGTTGTGCCAGAGTATTAGTTTCTTGCATGATTTTTAACAGAAGGAAAGGATTCATCTGAAGCTGAGCGAGGTCTCATTTTTATCAGTGTATATATGTGTGATGAATAAAGATATGGATTATTCCAAAGCCAACTTGGTCAATATAACTAATACCAACCAGATGGAACCATTTCACATTTCGTCACTTCACATGACTTGAAACACCAGTGGGGGTGAAGTAATGTGGATATGCTGCCACTCAAAAAAAAAGCACACCTCCACCTCCCTGAAATATTATGCCAATTACGCCATGAGTTTAGTCTGCAGAGTGGGGCCTCTGCATTGAAATGGATGTAAACTTTATTTCATCTGCTGAACAGGGAGAGGAAGGGGTTCCATTTCTTTGTTCTTTACCATTCTTGCCCTTTCCCTACCCACCTCCTGCAGGGCCCCAGGAACTTAAGATTGGGAAGGACAGAAAGTTAAATTTGTGAATAACATGGTGAGATTGTAATGGAAAAATGTCTTCACTGTGCTGTTCACAGTGATGTTTAGAATGCTGATATTTCTATCATGAATCACTATCCTTGGCAGCCTGTGTAAAATAAATGTAGAGTTAGGTTTTTCCTCCAAAATGCAGTTCTCTGCTTTTATTAAGTGCCAGTTCTTTGTGCTTCATTTGCCCATCTTCTTTGGAATGAGTGAAGTAGGTGTAAAAATGGTTCCTGTTCAGCATGTTTATTTTCTTCCAGAAGTGAATCAGAACTTAGTTTGACCTGTACAGCTTCTGGAGATGCAAAGGCTATGTTACATCACTGCTCAACATTTATTTCTAACTTATCTCAAATATTGTATTATTTTATGTTTTGTTAGATACAGAAGATAGAAGGCCAGAAAGAATCCATTTCAGTTTTCTACTGTACTTAGAATAATGTTTGCAAGAAAAAAATGTTTCTTTTTTCCATCAAAAAGTGGAAAAGAAGTTCTTAAATGAAACCTGAATTGTTATAGCTTGTTTCTAACATCGGTAATGTAGATAGGACAGTAATGTAATACAAGAAAGAACTACACACAATGTATTAAAATCTATTTCCTTAATTACAAGAAATTAATAATGAGTCCAATCTTTACACTCTGCCAAACTCTTCTCCTTGTCATTTCTGAAAACTGCTGTCACCTACACTGAACTTCCATTCTTGATCAATACTGCATTTTTTAATCACTGTTTTCTGGGTCAGATTTTTTTTGGATAATTAGATTTTCTCCTCCATATGCAATACTTTTTGGAGAATTTTTCTTAACTTTTTTTTATTGTTGAGCATTTGTCACTGCTCAATTACAGTTTTGCTACACACTCACCTTGCTGAAACAAGACAGATAATGGAGAAACAATGTGGTAACTGAAGTGGGTTTCTGGAGTTGAATTCCTGTCTCCACCCATTGTTTCACAAGCTGGCAATTTTTATAGCAACACTTCTAATTAGCTATTTTAGAGACACTGGACAGTCTATGAGCCTAATGGCTTATACACTAACAATCCATACACAACATCCTCATAGTATGATTGAATAAACTCTTCACTTTTTTTGCTTAACACTGCCAAATTATTGACTTTTGAAAAACAGATTTCTGTGCCTTTTCTGACAGTTCTTGGCCAGGAGCTGCCTGCAGGGCTGGAGAGACCATCATGAAATAGGCTTGGATCTCTCTCAGCTCCTGCAAAGTATATCAACCTATAAAGTAATCATTCACAACAGATTTCCTTACAGATGACATTTTTCAGTCTCTGCACTCTTCCTCCCTGTGGACTGAGTAGTCAGTTATCTGTTAATCAGGTACTACACAAGCTCAAAGGCTTTTCCTGTAATGGTTGTGCCACACCAAAACACAGCTGGGCACAGGAACTGAGCATAGGTAACAGTTGTTGGCTTCAAGAATAATCCTATTGATCTGAATGACTGGAGAATAAAACCAGATAAGGGATGAAAGGAACATATTAAGATGAGACAATACTGAGAGCAGAAGAGAAACAAATTGCTTGAGAAGAAATCAGTGAAAAAAGGCTATATAAATTGAGGTGTCTTAGCACTAGAGTAAGTAGAGAGGAAGGCTGAGACACCCTGATTGGGAAGCCAGTGGAAGAAAGGTTTGGAGACTAGTTGAGCAAGGAGATTAGAGGGGCTGAACAATGATTCTGGTATTGGGAGGGAATCAAATGGTTGGGCAAGAAGATCAGACTAGGTGTGTGTTACGAAATAGTAGGATGACACTGAGCTGAAGCGGTAAACAGAAAGGAGGGATTTTGAGTTAATTGACTAGAAAGGAGAAAGGTTGAAAGAAGGTACTTACATTTAGTAAGATGTGAGATGGAACTGTCTGGACAAGGAATCTGTGGTACCTGAGCTAGCAGTTTC